TGATTACTTGACCTAAATAAAAAAATAAGGTGATATTCGTGATCAGCAACTCAGGACGAATCAGAATATATGTGAAAAAAGAAAAAAAAAAATTTGTGGAAACTTTGCATTACTGGCACCTTACATAGATATATATATATATCTGTTGTCTATCATTTTGGTTTTACTATTAAAGGACTCTTAGTATTCGACTGATTTTCTATTTATTTAATTTGTTAAACTTTGTTCAACATGATAAACTTAATTTATCAAATAGAACAGTCTGTATGTAAATAATAAAAGTAGGAGAACATGTTTGTTTTAAATTATTATATTGTATTGATGAAATATTCAAGTCAAACATGATATTCAATGTACAATAACATAATCTGTTATATTCACGTTTTTCTTTTTCAAAATGATTTGTTAGTAATGATTATGGTAGAAAAAAAAGAATCTTCTCAATATGAGAATTTTCAAAAAGAACGAAATCTTTAGTAAATATTATATTTTTAAATGAAATAGCTTCCTAGGATACCAAAGTTGTTATATTTACTTAATTTATAAATGTAAAATTATTCATAATTATCTTAAATTGTAATAAATTTATATTACTATGTTAATATCATCATTTCGGTTTGACTTCATCGTTTCATTTCTTATTGTGATTCTAATTCTATCTTGTTCTGGTAATTATTCTATATAGAAAATCGAATTTTGATTTTAAAGCGTCTATATATTAAGATAGTTTCAATTACAATCGAGAAAAAATGTTCAACAGATGATGATTGTGATCTTGAATTAATGTGTAATATTGAAAGTCATACTTGTACATGTCCTCAACCATATTTTTGGCATGAAGATATTCATGCTTGCTATGGTTGTGCTCCTGGTTGGTTAAAATTACAAACAAATAAATGTCTCCTATATGCTATCAGCTATTCGTCCGGTATTACATGGTATGAAGTTAAGAAAACTTGCAAATCATTGATTGCTCAACCATTGATGATTAGTGATATTAATGAATTTATAGAATTACAACATCAAATTGAATATTTATTAAATGAAAATGACGAATTAGCTGCTAGTCTTTATTTTTATCAAGGTGCATGGGTTCAAATAAATAATGGTTAGCATTAAGAGGACCCCCTTTCCTGAGCCAAACAAATTTTTTTTTCGATTTTTTTTTTTAACATAAAGTTATATTATGATATGGTATACCTATACTTACGTATAAGCGGAAAAAACAATTTTTCTACAAGTTTTTTTTATTTTGCATTTTTCTCGAAACTAGTTTTTTGGGTATCAAAAACCAGTTTTCCCCCTTTTTCTCCGCCCTTTCAAGTCCGATTGGGCTGAAAATTTTTTTGGTGACACTTCAAGTGATTTGGGTTGGGCTTTTTGTTTTTGGCTACCTTCTGCCAATCAAGTTTGACAGGCTTCGCAAAATTTTTAGGATCCAAAAAACCTAGAGATTTTGCGAAGTGCTCAGTATTTTGGTTCTCCAGCCTGAAGTATTGGAATTTTTGAAAAAAAAAACGCTCACCACGATTGGGTCGGTCTATCCACAGTAAAAATTTCAGCTCAAACGGATGAAATCTGTGGATTTGCCGGGGGGGGGGGGGGCGCCTTTTCCATCAGGCTACCCTGGATCCCCTCG